CCGGCCGCGCCGCCTCCGCCCGCGCCTCCACGCAGCCGCCTCCCGCCTTCCCCTTCGCTCGGCGAGACCCACAAGCCGCCGGGGCTGCTCGGCTGGAGCGGGCGGTGCTCGGCGGCGGCGCCGGAGCGAGGCTCGGGGCCCGACCGCTTCCTCTACCCGCCCTCTTGTCTGAGGGAACCGGGTCCTGGGGCCGCCGCCGCCACTCGGCGTCTCCGGGGGGCGGGGAGGAGATGGGAGGCGGGGAGGAGATGGGAGGCGGGGCCTGCGGGTGGGGCGGGCTCGGGGCGGGTCCCGGGCGGGCGGGCGGACGGAGGGCGCGGCGGCGGCGCCGGGTGCCTGGGGCGTGGGGACCGGGGAAGACGCGGTGTGGCCGGCCGGGAGGACGGCGCTGAGGTGGCCGCGGCCTGTCCCCCCCACAGCCGACAGCGAGGGGCCCGCACAGAACTTGAGGGAGCAGGCAAAAGAGGAGGGGAAATGTCGGTGGAGGCGGCTCGGTGGCACCGGGAGCAAACTTAAAGCCCTGCCCACTTCTGGGGGAGCTTTTGTCTGCTCAGGGCCGCCTGCGCTTATTAGACGCCCACTGCGTGCGGGGTGCTGCGAACAGGAGAGCAGGGCTGGAGGCAACGAGTCCGCTTCAGCATCCAGCATTGCTGAGCAAGAGGGCAGGGACGCCATCCCCACTCAGAGGGTTCTAGCAAATTCCCGGGGGCGCTTTACTCCTCGTGTCTTGGCCACCTTCATCCTTCCAGAACTCACCTGGTGGGCCGGATCAGGTTACCTGTCTGCTCCGGGCTCTTTCTCCAGGAACTGGAGAAGGATAGCGCCTTAAAGGATTGCTAACACGATAAAGATTGTTGTATAAAGAGCCCTTCTGAGGAGGAAATGAAAATAATTGTACCTTACACTTTGACCCAACAAGTGGATTCCTACCAATTTATGCTAATAAAGTTGAATACATTTAATCTAATAATTGGGAGTAAGGAATACAAATTCTATATACAAAAGATATTCTTTATAACATAGTTCAGTTAATAAGAGAAAGAGGATGAGGGAACAACCTGAAGATGTTACATCAACAGGATGGACTTTTAGGCAGCCCCTTAAAGATGATGTGAAGGTTAATATTGTGTGTCAGTGTAGCCTTGGTCATTTTTTTTTACACTTTTATAACTTTATTTTTTTTAATTATATTTTATTAATTTTCATAAACATTTACAGAGATTTTGGGCTTCCACTCATTCATTGTTGCACTATTCTCTCTACCCTCCTCCCAGTTTGTTCTTGTCCAAATGCCACAGTGCTTGTCAAAGCCAGTTCTGATTAATCTTCTTTGTCAGTGTATCCTTTGCCATTCCCTATCACTCCTCCCTGAGAGAGACTTCACCCTGAGTCATAAGGAAAAGGGGACGGCGTATTCTCTTAGCTACTTCCTGCTGAAAAGGGACGCTGTGGGTTTCAGGGTGAAGATCTTCTCTCACTACTCTAAAGGGCCCCTTTGGCAGTAGGAAACACATAGACTATTATGGAGATTGATTTTGGAATTCAGATGCACTCTTATTGATTGTGCTTGGCTGTACATGTACATATCCTTCAAGATGTATCATGGGGGTGTTGCAACCTAGAAGACACAAATTTGACTAACAAGTTATAAGTACATGAGTCCAAAAATTATGGAAAAGTAAAAGAAAAGATTCTTTCATTGTTTTACAAACCCTCCCCCAGGTCCCCTCCACCATGCACTTTTATAACTTTATTTGATAATCAGCTATTAGTTTTCATCCACATTGATGGTCTGTAAGCCTTGGTCTTCAGTATAATGTAACTGTCCTATATTTTGAATCCTAACTTGATTCGGTGACTGGGATAATCGGGATGGGAGTGTCAGAGACAGTGCGATTGGCACAGGACAGAGCAGAGTTTAGGGCTGTTGTACATAGGGTCGCTATGAGTCATAAGCGACTCGAAGGCACATAACAACAACAACAACAACAACCTGTATAATGATAATGAGTCAGGATTAGAAGTAGATCTGTAAAGATATGATCTGCCTTAGCTGAATTAGGGGACGTGTCCTGGGCAGCTGTGGCCTGCCTAGTGTACATTTGGATGCTCTTGGGGGGGGAAAAAAAAGAGTGTAATTTTGTCCCATCTACATTTGGCTATAGGGCGTGTGGCCTCCAGCCTTGAACCAATGTCCTGCTGTACTTGCCAACTTTGTCTCCAAAGTCTGCATTTTTCAATCCTGCTTCCCAACCAACTACTTTTGGACCATGAATTGAATCAGGCAACTTCCAAACCTAGCAGCCTCAGCTTCTGTAGACTTCCCCCGCTGCTTCTCTTGAGGTCTGCCCTACAGACCTGGGACTTGCCAGCCTTTATAAACACAAAGGGAGAACATGGGAAGCTCTGGTTGCCTAGAGGTAAGAAGTTGTGCTACAATCTCAAAGGTAAGTAGTTCGAATCTACCAGCAGCTTATCGGAGATGGATGGGCAATCTCCTCTAGATGAACTGCCTCTGAAAACCCACTAGAGGGTCAGCTATGGATCATTTCCTACGTGGAGGCACACAACAGCATAAGCACATAAGCCATTTCCTTGAACTATCTCCTTCTGTCTTGATAAGACAGATACTTGTGTACCATGGAGTCAACTCATGTTTGACCCTCCAACAGGTCTGCAGGCAGGAAAGTGCACAGTAGAGATAAGCTTCATTGGTTTTGTTTCTCCAGAAAAATCTATCCTAAGATTAAAGTGAAGGGCAGAGATTATGGAAGATTTTACAGATAATGCAAAGTTTAAAAGCAGAATAGAACGTATTTATGCCTGCTAAGGAGCATGAGGTAATGCATCATGAAAACAACTGATAAGGGTGATAATGTGGGAGATGTGTGTGTGTGTTGTAAATTTCACAGTTGTACTTTCCTCCCCCTTCCTTTTTTTATTTCTTCATTTCTTTTTTTCATTTCCTCCCTCCTCCTCTGACTCCCTACTCCACTCTGCAATGCATTTCCTGTTCCAGATTGTTGTCATACATATAATGCCTAATCATATATTCCTTTCAGACAGTTCCTTCCCTCGTCTGTTCCAATGCAGTGTTCATTATCTATCCCCTCTTTTCTTTTTCTCCCCCCAACTCCCCATGTCAGTCCTATTTTATAACAGCGGTGTTATGTAGTATTTGTCCTTTTGTGACTGAGAGATTTCACTCTGCACAATGTCAGCCAGGCTTCCTCATGTTGTGTAATGTATTACAAGTACATTACTGCAGGGAGCTCTGGTGGCCTAGTGGCAAGAAGCTGCATTGCAATCCCAGAGGTGCATGGCTCAAATCCAGCAGATGCTCTACTAGAGAAGGAGGGACAATCTCCTCCTGTACCAGTCAGATCCGATTTGATGGTACACACACAAATGAAAAAAGTAATGATAAAATTTAAAAAAAGATTAAAAAAAACAAGTACATTAGTGCATAATAGGCCATGGTGTGAATGGATTATAGTTATTCTATCCATTCGTTTGTTAATAGGTGCTTGGGTTGCTCCCATCTCTTTGCTATTGTGAATAATGCAGAAATAAACATGGATGTGCATACATCTGTTTGAGTCACAGCTCTGGTTTTCTTAGGGTATATTCCCAGTATGGAATTGCTGGGTCAAGTGGTATTTCTAATACCAACACTTTTTTTTTAATTAATTTTAATGAAAATGAAAGTTTACAGACTTAGGGTTTCCATTCATTCATTGGTGCACTTTTCTGCCTATCCACCCCAGCCCCCCAATTCACTCTTCTCCTTGAAAAGTAAAACTCTTTCATTGTTACTAATACCAACTTTTTGAGAAAGTGCCAAATCCCCTTCCATAGTGGTTATGCCATTATTATATTCCCACCAGCAGTGAATAAGAATTCCAATCTCTCCACAACACTGCCAGTGTTTGTTGTTTGCTGCCCTGATGAACTTTGCTGGGGTTACAGCTGTACTTTTAATGACATTAAATATGTTTCCTTTCAGTTCTTTTTCATTCACAAGAAATCATTTTGAACATCCCTCTTAGGTCTGAGTCTTGGACCTGCTCCAGACCCATGTAATTTGGCCATATTGATCAAGCTCTGCAGGAAGCGGGAGCTCTGGTCTTGTCAGTCTGGATGAACTCCAATCACTGATCAGTGAAGATCATGATGCATTGAAGGTACAGAACTGCTTCCCTTTCCCAATGCCATTTCCCAATGAAGGCCATAAAGGTGGCGTTACTCTCCTTGGCCTTAGTCTCAATGACTTTAAATATCTTTAAAGTTCATATGTATTGAATTGTGGCCATGCTGATATTCTCCCAGGCCATGTTCTCAGCCTCTCCTCACTCCTCATAGCAGATGCCCTTGTTCTCCTCCCTGTAGGTGAGATAGGCAGGGTTCTCCTGCATTCTGGGCTGCATTAGGCACCCACATTGGAGAACAGTGCCCTGTTTATATCAAATGTCATTAAATTCATCCTTGGTAGATGAATGTGCAAGCACTTAGTCTGAGAACATGGATTTCTAACCTCATCATAACTTGGTGATC